AGTAGCTCTTTCACCAGGGTGTGATGACCTCAGTGAGACAGCATTGTTAGCATTCTGTAAAAAGCTATTTTTGAACCATGTTATTTAGAACTCATTGCTGTTCTTTGTTGGAAAAAGAAGTTTTGCAAGAATATGGCCTTTGTTCCCAGTGAGTTCATCTATTGTGGTTGTTGGGCATGTATTTTCACTGGGATGTCACACCATGAGAAACTTGGTATTTTGAGGGAGGACCAGTCCTGAGCAGGGCGGGTCTTGGGGCAGGACGAGCATTGCTGGGAGAGAGTAGAAGAAGCCCTGACTACCTGAGTCAGCAGAATCCACCCTTTCTTTCAACAGAATGTTTGGTTTCCCTGTAGGCTTTGGGGGTGACATCTTAAAAAGTAAGGCCTTGTCAAGATTTAGAAGAGATTTGTTGTTGGCAGGCTGTGTGGCTGCCCTCTTTGTGTGTAGGTGCATGTTTTGATGATTTTTGTAACTGCCCTTCTATAGGAGAAACCTACACCTACGACTGGCAGCTGATTACTCATCCTAAAGACTACAGTGGAGAAATGGAAGGGAAACATTCTCGGATCCTCAAACTATCGAAGGTGAATTTGCCTCCTGTCATTTGCAGGGCTGGGGTAGAGGTGTTGACCATTGCTTCAAATTTATAAAATAGAATTTTCTGTCCACACTTAACTTAGGAACAGTCTTTCAGAAGTGAATCCTCCAAAAGTCTTGACTGGCTGACATCCAGTATTTGTTACTGCATGATTCTCAAATTTCCATTTATGATGAGAAGACTGTATAAGCATGGTGGTGATAGCTGAAAATATACAGTAAACAATTTTTAAGGATAACATAAGGATTTTAGAATTTGGGAGATAAGCTAGGTTATTTGTAGCAACATGACTGTGTAAATTGTCTCAGTCTTTTTTGAGATTCAATGTAGTTGTTAAGAGCCATAAAAATGTTCATATTCTTTGGTCAAGCAATTAACTTCCCTCCCTCCCTCGCTCTCTCTCTTCCTACTTTCTTTCCTTCCTTTCTTCCATCCATCCTTCTTTCTTTTCTTCCTTTTTTCCTACCTTCCTTCCTTCCCTTCAACAACTGTTTATTGTACTCTAGTTTATGGAAGGTATTGGGAATTTACCAGTGAGTTAATCATAATCTTAGCATTCAAGGACAAAAGAGTCTAGTAAGTGATACTGACTAGAAGCAGGTAATTATAACATGAGATGCACTAGATCAGTGCCAGATTGAAGACCTGGGGAGTTAGAGTAGATTTCTTAGATTATGCCTAGTTGGGTCATGAAAGGTGACTAACTTGCTGGGTAAAGGGTAGAGCAATAATATCCTAAGTAGGTAAAGCAACAGCAGTCATATATGGTTCAGTCTGACTAGAGCCTATGGTGTGAGAAGAGCAATGGCCAGAGTAAGTTGGAGAGATGCAGGGGTCAGATTGCACAGACTCTTTATAAGGACTTTGACTCTTATCCAGAGGGAATATGGAAACTTTGAAAGGTTTTAAGCAGATGAAAGACTTGTTCAGATTTTCAGGTTAGAAACATCACCCTGACTGCAGATTGGAGGAGATGAGACTCAAACTAGGGAGAACAATGAAGACTCTGTTGACAGATGTAGATGTGAGATGATAATAGCCTGAGTAAAACAAACTTAATAAAATAAAACTTAAAAACCACCTATTGAGCTCATACCATGTGCTAGAAACAGTGCTAATTGTTTTTTTTTTTAATGTCAGGGTTTTTTTTTCATACTGTATATATATATAATTTTTCTTTAACATTTTATTTTTTTATTTTTCCCCTCTCCCCTCCCTTCTGGTAACCACTAGTCCATTGTCCATGTCCATGAGTCTCTGTTTGTTTGTCCTGTTCATTTGTTGCTTTTAGGTTTCTATCTCATATATGTGATATCATGTGATTTTCAACCTTTTCTGCCTGGCTTATTTCTCTTAGTATGATTATTTCAAGGTCTATCCATGTTGTTGCAAATGGCAGTATTTCATCTCTTCTCATGGTTGAGCATGTCCCGGCCACTGTGAATAATGCTCCTATGAACATCGGTGTGCAAATATCTTTTTGGATATGAGTTTTCAAGTCTTTGGGGTAAATACCCGGTAGGGGGATTGCTAGATCATATGGTAGATCAATTCTTAGTTTTTTGAGAGCTCCATACTGCTTTCCATAGAGGCTGTATCAATTTGCAGTCCCACCGGCAGTATATGAGGATTCGCTTTTCTCCACATCCTCTCCAACATTTGTTATACTTGTCCTGTTGATTATAGCCATTCTAACAGGTGTGAGGTTGTATATCATTGTGGTTTTGATATGCATTTCCCTAATAGCTATTTCATACATTTGTTGGCTATTTGTTTGTCCTCTAGGGAGAAGTGTCTGTTCAGGTCCTCTGCCCATTTTTTGATTGGACTGTTTGTTTTTTGTTGTTATCAAGTCGTATGAGTTCTTTGTATATTTTAGATATTAGGCCCTTATCAGAGGTGTTGCTTGCAAATATATTTTCCCATTCAGATGGTTCTTTCTTTACCTTGTTGACGGTTTCTTTTGCTGAGCAGAAGCTTTTTAGTTTAATGTAGTCCCATTTATTTATTTTTGCTCTTACTTCCCTTGCCTTTGAGGTCAAATTCATAAAATCCTCTTTAAGTGCTAATTGTTTTATGCAGTTATTTAATCTTCATAACAATTCCAAGATACAGATATTAATATCTGTTCTACAAATGACAAAACTAAACATTGGAAAAATAAAGTGGTTTGGCGAAATTTCACAAAGCTATTAAGTGGTAGACTTGAACTGGAACTTTCTGTCTCTAAAGCCCATGCTTTTAATAACTGCGTTATGATGAATGGTTAAAAACTAATGTGATATTTATAAAAAAAAAACATAAAACAAAAAACGAAGGCGATGGCAGTGTGAATGGAGAGAAGTGAGTGGATTTCAGAAATGGAGGTTGACTTGATAAGGCTTGGTGATCAATTAATTGGGTGGAGGTGTTTGGGAAGGGAAGTCTAGGATAATTCTAGCCTTTTGGCTTAGGCACCCGGTGGGTATTGCTGCAGTAGTGCTGACATTCACAGAAATGAGCAGGTTTGGGGCAGGTTTGCAGATGATTAACTCATTTTCGGATAGAGTGAGTTTGAGGTACCTATGAAACATTTGAGTGGAGGTGTCCAGTAAGTAGCTGGGGATCAGGATACAAGTCTGGTCTAGAGGTAAATTTGCACATCAAACTCAAATAGATGACGATTGAAGCCACGGTAATAGATACCATCCAGAGAGAGTGTGTAGAGTGAGGAAATAAACGGGTTGTGATTGAAATTCTGGGGAACATTGTCACTAGAAGTATAGAAGGAAGAGGAAATGAGTGGGAAGGGAAATGAAAGCCAAGGAAAAGAGAGCATTACAAGAAGGAAGTGGTCAAATACACTACATGTAATCAATTAGCACACAAAAAAAGATAATTCCAAAGAAAGAAAAAACCCATTTGCCTGAAAGATGTTCATCATTGCATTAGCTACAATAGTGAAAATTTGGGAACAACACAAATAGCCAACAATATGGAATGCTTATATGAATTATGGCACATGTATTCATATACTATTCCACAATCATTAAAATGACTATTAAAAAGACTATTATTAATGGAGAAAGTGTTCATGCTAAATGAATGGAAGAAAGAACAATAAGTTTGGTACACACCTTGGTTTTAGCTAGACCCTGAATACCACTGACATACGAGCTCCTTGAAGGCAGAGAGCTTATCTTATTCATCTCCAAACCCCAAGCCTAGGACAACAACCAGTACATAATTGGTTCTCAGTAAATGTTTATTGAACAGTTGAACTGTTTAAAACTATTTTGTGTGTGTGTGGTTAATGACTGGGAAGAAATAAGAGAAATATGATTAAATAATTGATGTGTTAGGACTGTGGGATTTGGGTAATTTTTTTCTTTTATATATGTTTATACAGTTAGTGGAACTCAGGAGGGAAACATTCAGATATTTGGGAGCCATTTGGTATTTTTACAAAATGTTTTTCTTTGCAGAGATGATTGTTTTAATTTCATAACTCTGTAAAGTAGGATAGTTGGGCCTTTAATGTTCTTTTTAAAAGGAAATGGGAGTACAGAGATATTGAAATCCCTTCTGTTGTTCTAGAGTCAGCTAGTAATAAGATTCACATAAAAAGCTATGGTTTTTAAGTTTATAATTCATTGTTTCATCTCTCCAGCTAGTTTACTTTCTCCACTTTGGAAACAGTGCAAGGCGAGAGAGTGCAATAATCAGCCTGGGAAAGTTCACATATATGTGCGATGTTAAGTGTTAATTGCTGCTCTTTGTGGTTGTCTAAAAGATCTCTGTCCTTTCTGCAGCTCACTCCAGGCTTGTATGAATTCAAAGTGATTGTAGGTGGTCAGAGTAGCCATGGGGAAGGCTATGTGAACGTGACAGTAAAACCAGGTATGTATTTCCCAGCCCTGACTGTGTCTCTGTTGCTCCCTCTGCAGGAATCCCAAAGAGAGAGATTTGACTTTAGGGTTTTTTTAATTCCCATTCTTTTTTTTGTAATATATTTATTGGGCAATTCCTAATTCAGTGTAGTAAAAGGTTAGGGTGACAAAGTATGTACTTTAGCTCTAGTTAGAACATTTGGCTAGGCAGGGAAACATTAGTCACATGGCCCACAGTGCAGCATGGCCTGTCTACCTGGAACTACTTCTCCAAGTAGGTCATGCTGAGAGAGGACCATGTGTTGTCATTAAGAGAAACAAGAAAACCAGGGGAAGCATGTAGAAGGAGAACCAGCCAAGCGGCTGGCCCTTTCTGATCTCTTTCCAGAAATGTGGGCCTTTGCACATAGACTTCCTCACTGAAACCCTGCCAGTCCTCTTTCACCTTGGACACCAGATTCCATCATTCTTTTTAAGTGATCCGGCATCAGTAGATTACAATGCGGTAGCAAGGTATCTTGTTTTGCATTTTCAGAGACATTAGGGGGGAAGTTGGCACGTGGCACGTACATTGGTACAAATTCTGAATACTGCTTTCTGCCTTTGTTGGTCATAGATTTTCTTTTCATTCTTTGAACCTTATAGCCAAGGTAATCTTTTCTCCTTAAAAATGCATTTAGCATAAAGAGCATTCAATCATTTCTCAAAGAAAAGCCCACTGGGCTCACAGTTACTCAGGTGGACCGGAGTGGTTTATGACCTTCCATCCATCACTCTGGCCTAGTCACCTCACACACAAACAGCTCACGGATGGTTGCAAAATCACCTACTGTCTTTTCAGCATAGCTTTGTGCTGAGAGATAGCTTGCTTGCCAAGGCCTTTATTGCACAAAGCGTATTTGTGGTCCACTTCTAGTCAGCTTGCCTGGAAGCAGTCACTTGCTGCTTTAGTACTCTTCATGAGCTAGATAGATAGCACATGAGCATTGAAAGAATGCACAGGGCATGGTCTTAGGAATAGTCAGCTTTGGAAGAGGCTTTCACAGGCGTCTTACATGATAATGCCATCCTGGTCTTGTGACTTTCACATTTGGTGATGCTACAGCCATCAATTATGTAGTGGAAACATAATCCACCCAGGAATGGTCTGCTCCTACTATAATTTCCAAAGCACTTCTTTTAATTGCTTCGGGGTCATTTTCTTTCAGAGCCCCGTAAGAATCGGCCTCCTGTTGCCGTTGTGTCACCACAGTTCCAGGAGATTTCTCTGCCAACCACTTCTACAGTCATTGATGGCAGCCGTGAGTACTTATCTAGCATGATATTTTAGAAGAGCATTCACTGTGTACTCTGGTGGAAGAGTTGGGCCGACTATGTGTGCGTTCTGTTTAGGCTTCTTGACTGTGTTATGGGAGGAGCAACCATTTGAAGTAACTAATTAGGAAATAAGAACCACCCAGGTCCTATTTAAAACTCTCATGCGGCTTGTTTGAAATAAGATTTCTATTCTGAGATGGTAAGAAAGTGGGATTATACATGTAGTTAGCATTATTTTAGTTGAAACTTTCTGGTTTTCAAATTTTCTTAGATGGAGTTGCCATTCTCAGTTATGGAAACAAAGCTCTTTTCCTATCATGAGAAGTAACTGAGAGTCTTAACTGAGGAGCTCTCACCCAGCCATCACCACCTAATGAGATTCCTGTCAGCCTTCTCCTGGAGAGACTCACAGAATGTACTCCACGCCCCTGCCCGGGCTCACTAACATTTTACCCTTCAGAGTAGTGTCACCTGATGGGTGACATGAGAGGATTTCTGGGTCTTTGCCTTTGATCCTGGCCATGTGTGTGCAGGAGGTTTCAGTCCTGCCATCTCACCAGTATTTGCTTGGAGACACATTAAGGCCCCGTTACCCTGACTGTCTTGGCATTAGCAGTGGTTTTTGGCAGAGGCAATCACTGCTGTAGGAGAGGAATCTCTCACAAGGTTAATAAACATTTCATGTAGGCGGTTCTGACAAGAAGAGGAGGCTTGAAGAATAGCAGGCCAAGAAGGAAGAGACAGAACAGAAAAAAGCACTTATGAGAGTGATAGAAAAGGTTCACATAGTACTATTTTATATTTTTGAATAGGTCACAGTTAAAAAATATGTGAAGGTATGCAGTGAAAAGAATCATTACTATCCCTTCTCCTAACTATCTAGTTTTCCCCCAATCAATGATATTTATGTATTTGTCCAGAGATATTATGCATATATAAGAAAATATATAGTCTTTATGATAAAACATTATACACACTTATGTACAATGTTTGTTCCTGTATATTGGAGAATTTTTTTTGAATCAGTATATGAAATATTCATTCTTTTAATGATTTCATAGCCTTCCATTATATGGATATATAATTTCATTGTTTGAATATATACTTGTTTTCAGTCAGTCTCTATTGATGACCATTTAGATTATTTTTGGTCTTTCACTATTACAAATAATGTTGTCATGATGAATAATCTTGTAAGCATGACACTTAACACCTGTGCAAGGACATCTGTAGGATAAATTACTAACAAAGCAGTTGCAGAGACACAGATGAATTTTGCCAGATTGCTCTTTGTAGAGATTGTATCAATTTATGCTTCCATCATGACTTATGAAAGGGCTTCTTTCTCCACACCTTTACCCACATAACGTGTTATTGAAACTGGTCTTTACCAATCTGATAGGTTAAAAAATAGTATCGCAAGCATAATTTAAATTTGCATTTCTTTTAAGTGAGGTTGAGTATCTTTTCATATGTTTAAGAATTTTTGATTTTCTTTTTTTTATACAGTAGCATTTTAACCAGAGGTTGCCTGTGTTGGAGTCTTTGGAAAACTACGCAGTGGAATATTCATAGAGAGGCAGAATGACCCAATATTCCTAGGGAAGAAACACTCTGGAGAGATAGTCTGTAATTTCACGAAGTTTTCCTAGCCTCAAGTCTCTGGGTAGTTGCCCTGGTTTGTGTAAACTGGATAAGTGCTGAGACACAGCGCTCTCATGTTGTAACTGATGTTTCTTTATGGTCAAGAAAGCACCGATGATGATAAAATCGTCCAGTACCATTGGGAAGAACTTAAGGGACCTCTGAGAGAAGAAAAGATTTCTGAAGACACGGCCATATTAAAACTAAGTAAGCTCGTCCCTGGGAACTACACTTTCAGGTAAGTTAAGATCCTTCAGGTTCACCATAGGCCATTTTTTCTTCCTGTGGGTTTGACATTCTTATGGGAGTAACTCTGACATATAGCAAGTTTATTGTAGAGTTGGTCAGTAATATACTCTTAGGTTCCATTGGTTCTCTGAGCCCTATGATCTTTAATAACGACATTAATGACTTTTTAAGGCAAATGTCCTTGTATAATATATCAGGATTCACCACAGTTAATCCTTCTCAAAGCCTTATCTGGCAGATCTCCGAACATTGTTTTTTTTTTTGTTTGTTTGTTTTTTTTAGGATTTCTGTCATTAAGTGAAAGGGCCCATCTTCCTTTGCCTTTTTTCAGGAAAAATCCGAAGGAGCCTACGATCATTTGTCTCATCCCTTTGGAAAATGCTTCTTCAAATGATGTCTCAAAATTCTTATTTTTGACTAGTGTCTTATTTCATTATGAGTTGTAGGATCTTTATTAGGGCTTTTTGGAGAATTTCCTTCAAAGATAGTCCTTTTGGAAACTAGTGTTGACATTCTAGAATGTGATTAATAAGAGTGTGAGGCTGACTCTAGAGTAATCTTTATTTTGCATAATTCCTTATATGCTACAAAGCACTTGTGAGTATCATACAAACACCACATGTACATGATGCTGTCCTCATTTTACATCTGAGAAAAATGAGGCTCAGTGTATTTACTGACTCTTCTGACATCACACAGTACCGAAATACAGATTTTCTAACCCCTATGTCATTCTACTCTATTCCTTGATTTGACCCATCTGTATTTTGTTAATGCTTCTTTGAATGCCCTTCTCAGTCTGCTGGAGTTCTGCCTAACCTTAAGAATCTACATAGTTTCCTATGAAGCTCTCCGAGATCCCTCTAGAGAGACAGAAACGTGGCTCTCCCCTTTTCCTGTTGCACTGTGTGGCACATACGATGGTGGGACAGCTTATTCATGGGTGTCTGCCCTCCCCCACTAGATCTGAGATGAATCAAATTTTAGACAGTACCAGAGACACAGTGATAAATGGCCTAGCATAGCACCAACCCTACAAATAAATACGCAGGTTCTGACTTAGCAGAACTCTCATTGCCTCAAGACTTCAGGTGAATGAAATGTAGCTGCCATTCAACAGGTTGGAGCCTTCTCATTGGCTTAAAATTGAAATGTGATTTGGTTTTACCTTAGATTTCTAATATAGGAATTTTAGCATTTATGGATTTAGCCTGGGCTAGGTTGACCTTTTTAAAAATAGTAACAGTAGTAACTACTGTTTATTTACTATGTGTTCATTGCTGTTCTGAGCTCTTTGAATGCAGTAGCCCATTTAATCCTTATAACAGGTATTATAATTACTCTTATTTTACAGACTGGGAAGTTTAGGCACTAGAGGTTAAGTAACTTGCCCAGGGTCACACAAGCAGTCTCAGCTTTTCACCACTGTGTTAGCCTGCAGCGTGTTGGATGCATGGATGGAGTATTGAGAGCAATTCTTTTTTTCTAAGTCTCAATCCATGAAATGATGGGATTAGGTCTGATTAGCATTAAGGCCTGGTCTGATTCCACTCACCTATTCCTCTCCTCTGCTTTTATATGGTAGTAGCCTCTTCCCCCAGCCCTGTGGTCAGCTGTTGTTTGGTTCCAGGATTCTTGCTTGCAGGCCAGTGACTGAGGTGAAAGTGAGAGTAATGGGCAGCTGCCATTTTGCCACCTGTCTATAACTTGCTTTTGTTCTGAAATAGGAGACGAAAGGGATATGTTTAAAAAACAAACAAACAAACAAAACTGAAAACACCAGGGAAACTAAAAAAAAGAGGAAAACTTCTGTGGACTTTTCTTTTTCAGATGTGTGTTGATTTGCACGTGTCTGTGCGTCCAGTGTTTTTGTGCTCTTTTTCTAAAGGCTGTAATAACAAAAATCCCCTCGAGGCCATATGAAAAAGGTGAGCCTGTGGGATAAAAGCCCACAGATGTCTGGCTGTCTGTGGCTGGTAGTGAGATTTAAACAAACAACATGCCTTTTCTATGCTTTTCCTCTTTCTGTCAGCAAAATGGAAGAAGCCCAAACTTCCTTGCTTGCTTATGCTCACATTTTGAGGTGGCAAGAGAAGCTTTAGGCTGTTCAGCTGGAAGGCATCATTTAGGTAAAAGTCTGCTCTTATAAATGAACATTTTTTTTCTCTTGCAAATCCAATTTCACACTGGCACAAACTGTGGGACTGTTGCGTAGGAGAATTCATTTCCATCTCAGGCTCCCGTCTTAGCAGAGCCAGCCCTTCTAGTCCATCCCAGAGGCTGTCTGCCCAGGATGTCCATTCTTGCAATACTTTCACAGCCGGATCAGGGTGACGGGAGGAGAGCCTGCTGCAGTCAGAACTTGCTCTACTTAGTGTGGCATCTTTGAACTCCACAGGAATAGAGGCCAGGGACTATCTCTTCTTAAGACTTTGCGTCTGGGCTTTGGAGTCAGAGAGCTGGGTTGGCTTGCATCTTGGCTCATGACGGGGTCCTGGGCAGGTCGCTTGGCCTCTCTAAGCCTCCTGTAGAGTAAGACTGATGATTGCTGTGAGGGCCAGAGCAGATGATGCTTGTACAGGGCCCTCACACAGACATGTGCAGGCAGCGGAGCAAAATGGAGCCGGATACACATTGTCTGAATTCAGATGCCAACTCCACTACTTTGAAGTTTGGGCAAGTTACTTTACCTCTCTCTGCCTTAGTCTCCTCATACCTGTAAGAAGTAAAATGAAGATAAGACTTATAGAGCTGTTGTGAGGATTTAATGAGTTCTGAAGCACTTGGAATAGTGCCTGGCACAAGTAAACTCTTAGTCAGTGTTAGCTTCTGCTATTTCGCTGCCTTTCCAAGAGGAACAGTAAGAATTGGTTACCATTTGGTAACCTTGCCACCTTGGTATTTCTGAGCCTTGATCTTTTTAGTTCTCTCATGTTTATTCCTCTTTACTGAAGCCTGTCCCTGATTGCACCTCTCTCTCTGCCCTGATAGCTTGACTGTAGTAGACTCTGATGGAGCTACCAACTCCACTACTGCAAGCCTGACAGTGAACAAAGCTGTGGATTACCCCCCTGTGGCCAACGCAGGCCCCAACCAAGTGATCACCCTTCCCCAAAACTCCATCACCCTCTTTGGGAACCAGAGCACTGATGATCATGGCATCTCCAGCTATGAGTGGTCACTCAGCCCCAGCAGCAAAGGGAAGGTGGTGGAGATGCAGGTAGGAGGGAGTAGTTTCTGTCTTTTCTAAGGCCCAGGGGGGATTAGCGCGGCTGGACCAGATCACCCATCCAAGGCTTCTTTTTGCTCCATTTTAATGACCAAAGTCAGATGTATACATAGATCATTTGAATTTTTTAAAAAAAATCTGGAAAGTTTAGGGGCCTTCAATTAACACACTAGCAAAAACCTTTACCTCACATGTTTAGTATCAGAGGAAAAGACTAGATGAGAAGTGGTAGCTGTTCTAGGATAATTCCAGAGTAACACTTTTTAGAAGCTACAAGGGTGCAGATCTTACAAAGTGGAGTAAATTGCCTAACTAGATGATGAGCTTCTCCCTGGAGATATTTCAGAAGAGACTAGATCTGTCACCAGGCAGGTAACATAAGTAAATAAAGAAAACCGGATGGGGGCTGTGGTGAATCAGAGAACTTAAGCCCTGACTAGAAGGGTCAGCTGCTCCTCAGGCCCAGCTGGTTGTCGCCATATGGACATATGGTCCCAAGGTTGCTGGATCGTACAGCTTTTCAAGAGAAGACAGAAATCTAGATCTTTATGTGAAAGTTTTCAATCATTAAGACACCAATAGGCCAAACAAAACATCTGCAAGCTGAACTCGGCCCAGAAGCTGCCAGTTTTTGCCCACTGTTGTAGAGTAACTTCCTGCATTGGGAATTTGTTCTAGGTTATTTTTAATGTTCCTTCTGACACTCAAGAGTCTATGTTTTTAGGCTTGAGGCATGACTTAAAGCTCACATTCACCTGGCTTTTGTTTAAGTATTGTATTGGGTTTCTCTGCTGTTGCAAAATCCATACAAACCTGCTTTGTACGTAACAGCATGGTGTTACGTAGCAATCTGAGTTGCTGCCATGTTTTAGCGGGGCAACTTTATTAGGGTGGCTTTTGTAGAAGGAGCACTTTTTAAAAAAAATTGTGTTGTTTTATTATATATTCACGGTCTTCTTTCTGGCTTGGGTCATGGAGACTGACCTTGGTCATCTTTGCACCTTTTCCTGCTCTCCCCTCCCTATGAGAGCTCTGATTTTATTTGTAACTGCCTCAGTGTCAGGGAAGTTCCCTTGAAGAAGGAAACTTTTAACAAGATGTCCCACAGTGTCCCAGTGTCCCACAGCATTCACTAATTTTGCTGAACAGCCTAGTACCAACTATTTAGAAAACTGGGTAAATCAATTAAACCTGAGCAGTACTTAATGTGTGATACTGTGATTCTGGGAGGCTTTCTCACTGTCTATATTTATATATCCAGGGTGTTAGAACACCAACCTTGCAGCTCTCTGCCATGCAAGAAGGAGACTACACTTACCAGCTCACAGTGACTGACACAATAGGACAGCAGGCCACTGCTCAAGTGACTGTTATTGTGCAGCCTGGTAAGTTCCCACCTTGAAGTGCAGGCTCTTCTATTGGCTGGCCCCTTTAACCTTGGGGGAGAAGAGGGTTTGGGTTCTGAGCTATATGAGGGTATAAGTGGGAGGCACCAATCCCCTGGCAACCTCTGTCGTCCTGGCAACTTCAGTTGTCCACTCTCCTACTGCTTTCTTCATAGCTAGGAGAGAGAGTACTTCACAGCCTCAGCTTGTGCCCTTGCCCTTGGCTAGTTATTGTGCCTTCAAGGGGACCTAGCAGATAGAGTCTCTGCCATCCCATATTTTACTGCATCCTTAAAGGGGCAGCTTCAGGCCCAGTTCCTCAGGAAAGCCCTATCTTATCACTCAGACCCTTTCATTTGAACTCCTATAGCATTATATTTCAAATTTAAGGTAGCATAACTTCATTAAGATCTTCCATATTCTTTCAGAATTTTTTTTTTTTATATTTTCAGTCTTATATTCTTCACTGTAAGCTCCTTGACTGTTCCCCAGTACATATATCTCCCATAGTATCTGACAGTTCTGTGGGCGGGGAGGCAGAGTCCTTATGGCTTTCGGAACATATGTCCCAATGGGATCATCTCCTTTCCCAGCCGAACTGCCTGCCTTTGACCTCCAAGTATCTGTCTTCTAGAAAACAACAAGCCTCCGCAGGCAGATGCAGGCCCAGATAAAGAGCTGACCCTTCCCGTGGACAGCACGACCCTGGATGGCAGTAGAAGCTCAGATGATCAGAAAATTATCTCATATCTCTGGGAAAAAACACAGTGAGTATTGACACAAACCCTTATTTATGCACAGGCTCCAGACCTTTGAAGATCAGGGTTTTACTTGTTTTTAAGACTTTACTTGCCCTTATTGGCTTATTCAAGGTGGGGAGTGACTGAGAAAGAAAGATTTGCAATGCCCGACTTCAACCCTAAGAAAATAACATAAAATAATTTTTGTAAGAAAGACTGCTTACCATCAGCTAGTCCCTGGGTAGTACTTTTGTGGTCCTGGTGCTTTTACAGGTACAATTCATCTGCTGAAATGCATAGTCTGATTACACTTGAGAGGCAGGATGGAAGGGGTAATGGAGCAGAAAAATACTGTTGCTCAAAATTAACTGGGTAAGGCTGGCAGCGGGGGATGGAGCAGAGCAGCTATTAAGGAGAATTGAAATTCATCTACAAAATGAAAGCATTACTCCATTATTGTTTCCTTGAAGATACTGTTTACCAACTATGTTAGCCAGAGGCCAAAGGCAGTAGCCAAAATAATACTAAATAAACTGGAGTTATCTAATCGAACCATTACTAGTTTTCACAGTTTCTTTCAGCTCCTTTAAATCATAATAGCTGGAACTCAAATTATATGCAGGATCCCCAAATAAGTGAAAGAATTCCAAGGAAGGGTTAAAAGAGTTCAGAGTTAAAGAAAGAGTCAAATTTCTCTATTTCTAAAGGTAGCAACCATAGGGACAGACTGGGTTTTTTGTTTTTTTGTTTTGCCTGGAGCATTAGAGATGGGTGGGAAAGGGCTATAATTTGAAGAAACCACTTGACTGATCATTGGTGAGTTGGATTCTAGAAATTATTTTCCTCCGCTCTTGTTTCTATCTTTTGGAGAACCTAATCTTCCTCAGCCCAGTGTGTTTTCATTATAACTGTTGAAGATATGGCTGATAAACATTTTAGTTGAGTTTTATCAGTGTTTACAGTGGAAATAGTCCTTAGCTAGCTTCTTGGAGGAGAATCTGTTTCAGGAGGGGCTACTAGGGTCAGAGGTATAGGTTTGAACAGTAGAACAAAGCAGAACTGGGAAGTCTGCAGATTTCTCTCTTCACCCTGTAGTTCTAAGGAAAGCTCTGGAGCATTTTGATCCTTAAGCAGAAGTGCTTTGTTATGTGCAGCATCGTGCCTGGATATTGGCACAGAGCTCACTTCTCTACTGCAGGCCGCTGTGTGAGGCCCCAGGGGAGAAGTAAGGTTGCAGGGTGTCCTGAGTTCTCTGGGCTGCTGTCCAGGAGCTGAAGGGAGCTTTGCTTGACAGAGCCACTAAGACGAGGTTGGTTTTGCCTTGAGAATTGCTCTGCAGCCTTGGCCCAGTTCCTTTTCCTGACTTTTCAGCAGAAAAAAGTTTG